ATAAAACCACACACCTATGGTCAATTAATTTATGACAAAGGAGGCAAGAATATACAATGGAGAAAAGACAATCTCTTCAACAAGTGGTGCTGGGAAAACTGGACAGCTACATATAAAAGAATGAGATTAGAACATTTCCTCACACCGTATACAAAAATAAACTCAAAATGAATTAAAGACCTAAATGTAAGACCTAAGACCATAAAACTCCTACAAGAGAATATAGGCAGGATGCTCTTTGACATAAATCATAGCAATATGATTTTGGATCTCTATCCTAAGGCAAAAGAGATAAAAGCAAAATAAACAAATGGGACCTAATTAAATTTAAAAGCTTTTGAACAGCAAAGGAAACCATGGACAAAATGAAAAGACAACCTAAGGAATGGGAGAAAATACTTGCACATGATAAGACTGAAAAAGAGTTAATTTTCTAAGTATATTTACAGCTTATACAACTCAATATTTAAAAAAAAATCAGGAAATGGGCAGAAGACCTGAACAGACATTTTTCCAAGGAAGATATACAGATGGCCAACAGGCACATGAAATTATGCTCAACATTGCTAATCATCAAAGCAATGCAAATCAAAACCAAAATGAGATATCACCTCACACTTGTCAGAATGTCTATCATCAAAAAATCTACAAATAACAAATGCAGGCAAAGATGTGGAGAAAAGGGAAACCATTACACTGGTGGTGGGAGTATAAATTGGTACAGCCACTATGGAAAATTGTATGGCAGTTCCTCAAAAATCTATCAACCATATGATAGAATTCAGCAAGATGGCCAAATACAATATTACAGCACAAATTATCAGTAGCATTGCAACACAGAAAAGCAAAGAAAAATATAATGGAAAAATTCTTTATTATATTTCCACCCAGATAAGTTAATTTTATATCAGATAAGGTAATAGATATTTTAAATAGAAAGGATACGAGTTTACAAAGAATGTCAACTTTACAGGACCCTGGACAATTCACAAAGAGGTAACACAGATATTTATATTAGAAATATAAATTTATTGTGATAACTATTAAATGAAAATGTTGATGGCTCTGAAAAGAGTTTTTGTCTTATGCTGTTTATATCCTCCTAACAGCAGCTTATTTGGGTAGAACTGGTGTACTTGATGATGGCCTTGATATCATCAGATACAGCATGCTTAGTCAATTCCCTGGGCAGGAGCAGGCTCACAGACAATCGGATCTCCCTGGATGGTCCAGAACCTGTAACAAGGAGCCAGGTAGGAAGCACCTCCTACTAAGTGCTTGAAGGTATCTTTGGCAAAATACTTCTCAATACACTTGGATGAAATGCTCATGTTGGGGTATACCTGTTTCAAAAGGTTAATAAGGTAGATGGACATCTACTTGTCTCTAAGCCATCTCTCCTGCAAATCTGAGTTTTGGTAAAAGTTTTCTTAGAGTCGTTTTCAGAGACAGCAATTTTTCTTAGAATCATCTATGGAGATAGCAAAATCCTTAAGGGAAGACCCAGGTATAATATATCCAGCCTTCCACTACTTCAAGGTAAAGAAAATGGCAGTTGGGACAAAGTGGGACCTATTTACAATTGCTGTAGTCAAATGAGGTGTTGGGGCAACCCAATCTTTGACTGGATGAAAAGTAGAAAAAAGAATACATGTAAATGAGCTGCTTGAAGTTCACCCTGATTGGATAGTATTAATACTTGGCATCAACCACTCAGGAAGCAAAGTCAACCAGACAGCCTAGTAGCTGACTGTGGCCTCTACCAAGAGCACTTTGAAATGATTCCCTCTACAGCACCTACATTTTGTAGATTTCAGTTTCAACCACTTGAGAGAGACTGACCCCCTTAATCTAAATCCATGAGGAATAATGTTGGCCTACTTTGGGTCATATATCCACCCACCCACAATCAACTGTTGTTAGACTGGACAACCCCTAGATTTAGCAAGAACTATTTGACCTGGGGGAGGAGAATGATCTTAGAAAACATGGCACCTGGGCTGAGGCCACAGTGTCTCCAGGACTGACTGAAAACCTCAGTAAGTTGGAAATATACTAAACAATTTATAGAGAAGGAGTTGGATTAGCATATTAGGTAACAGATTAAATCAAGGCACCATCAAAGATTGAGAACATTATGAAGATGGTATTTAAACACTGAAGAAAAGCTTTAAACATGGCATGAAATGACATTTAAAGCCTCTAATCGAAAAGTAAAAGATAGAGGATATCATTTCATAACTGGTACATCAGAGCACATGCACACAGTACTATACCACCTTGGAAACAAGAAACTGCAAAAGACCTATTTTATTCATAAGGAAAGGTGTCAATGCTGAGAGAAAGATTAAACTGCCTTTTTCCCCTGCCGTGTTAACTTACTAGTTGACTGGGTGATTCACAACCAATGAATTATTAGCAAAAACACACGCTAACTAGAACTTTAATGTTAAAAACTAAGCTGTCTCTTAACAATGTCTTTGGTTTATGATATTCAATTCTGGTTAAAAACAACTCGCTGCTGGTGTAATTGTTGATGGCTTTGGCCCCTCAGACACAGTGTGCTTGACCACTTCTCCAGGCAGTAGGATTCATAAATGTCTGCACATGTGGTAGAATTTAGTCTAAAACTTGCTTTTATTAAACCTAACGCTAGACTACCTTAAGCTTCCTTAACAGCTGCCATTGTCTAACAACCAGAACGTAAGGTCAGTTCCCAGACTGGACTGTGGAATAGAGTCTGATCTGGAGTGAAGAATGAGGCACACCTGCAAACCTCTGACCTTGGAGTTCAGAGGAGAAATGGGTGTATATTGCCATTAATCTCTGTAGAGTAATGAAAAGTGATTATGTGATTAAGCACTCATTTTCTTTTCTTTTTTTTTTCTTTTGGAACATCAAAAGCACAAACTGTAATTTATTATCCTAATTGTAATAGAATTTCCTGTGTTTTGGTCTTTTCTTTCCTATGACTGCTATCTTCAATAGCATAAGATTTTGCAGTTTGAGTTAGGCATTCCTGTTACTGCAGTTGCAGAAGTAAGGGGCATTGAAACTAGAAAGTAGAGTAAAAGAAAGCCATATCTAAGGACAAAAGCAAGGAGTATTTGCAGTATGGCAATCTAGCACATACTTGAATGTGTTGTGTAGATAACAAAAGACATACCATTCTGATCAGCTGATGAAAGTCAGAATAATAGAGATGGTCTTCCAATATGAACTTGATGACCGGATTGACCCCATTTGTTCATAGCGATGGTGAGGCAAACAGGAGTTTGACTTGAACTTGGAGAAAAAAGGATTTGCCAGTACCATGATGTGGACTTTAGATTCTGAGCAGACATGACACATCATTTGGGTTCATGGTTTCCGACCTTTCGAGTGTGTGTGAAAAAGCAGCCAAGCTCCAGAGAGTGACCGTTACCATTTAGTCAAGTCTTTCATTTCAGGATTCAGATTCATCCGATGTGATTTCTCGATAGCTGCCCCTGAATCACTGCTAGACATTATGAGGGTTGGGGCAGAGTGTGCACATGAGAGGTGCTTCCTCTGCCAGATCCTCCTAGACTAGAAACAGCAGGCTCTCTGTGATTACAGCAGGACTGTACACTGGTGCCCTCTGAAACAGCAGCCAGAATCAGAGCCCACATCTTACCGAGCTGTCAAGTCTAATCATTTTTTATACCTTATTTTTTAAAAATAAATTTATTTGTTTATTTATTTTTGGCTGCGTCGGGTCTTCGTTGCTGCACGTGGGCTTTCTCTAGCTGCAGTGAGCAGGGGCTACTCTTTGTTGCGGTTCATGGTCTTATTGCAGTGGCTTCTCTTGTTGCGGAGCACGGGCTCTAGGTGCACGGGCTTCAGTAGTTGTGGCACTCAGGCTCAGTAGTTGTGGCTCATGGGCTCTAGAGTGCAGGCTCAGTAGTTGTGGTGCATGGGCTTAGTTGCTCTGCAGCATGTGGGATCTTCCCGGACCAGGGCTCGAACCCGTGTCCCCTGCATCGGCAGGCGGACTCTCAACCACTGCGCCACCAGGGAAGCCCGGCAGGTGCATTCTTAACCACTGTGCCACCAGGGAAGTCCCCGTGTGTCTAATTATTAATGACAGTTGTTCACAGTCTTATGAAACCAGCTCTGAGGGTAACTTCAACAGTTACCACAGGAGAAATGTGCACCCTATCCTTTCTAATAATTCTAGTGACTAAAAGAAAGCAATTTAAAAACCAACCCTTTTCAAAAGGAAAACATATAAAAATTTTAAAAGGTAGATATCACAATCTAAGTCAAGATGATATTTCTATCTGTATTCAAGTGTTTGAAAATTAATTATAGAAATGAAGCAAAGTTGGATTTTTTCCCACACAGAGACAACTTACGTCGATTTCTAGCAAATCAAAGCAAGTTGAATGCAAGAATGCTCCAAGTTGAGCATTTTAAGATGAAGTTAAAAATTAAATTGCAAAACCAAGTCACATTTTCTGACTTGGATAATAATTCAGGGTTAGATGTATTTGAATTCTAATGTTGTTGATTATTTATCGCAGAGTTCAGAGTCCTTCAAAAAATGACTCAGGGAAAAAGCTTTTACACAGGAAGGTGAAATTTTCATCCCTTTCTTCTATATAATGGACTTAGATTATCCATGCTTAAATTCCCAAAGTGCAGACGGAACAGATTGGTTTTTTTCTCTTCTTATCTCATAATGAATATAATAAAACTTACCTGAAAGAATTGTGAGGAGGACATATAATAAATGCTTGAAAAATAGTAGCTTGGAGGACTTCCCTGGTGGTGCAGTAGTTAAGAACCCACCTGCCAATGCAGGGGACAGGGGCTTGATCCCTGGTTTAAGAAGAACCCACATGCCACGGAACAACTAAGCCCGTGGGCCACAAGTACTGAACCCGTGTGCCACAACTACTGAAGCCCGCACGTCTAGAGCCCATGCTCTGCAACAAGAGAAGCCACCACAATGAGAGGCCCAAGCACCACAACGAAGCGTAGCCCCTGCTCGCCACAACTAGAGAAAGCCCACACACAGCAATGAAGACCCAACGCAGCCAAAAACGAAAAGAAAAATAGTAGCTTGGACTCCCCAAGACCCAGGCACCTCCTTCAGAATCCTTGATCTCAGTAATAGACTTTGCCAGGGTCCCACTCCTCCACCAGAATGCTGGGAGGGGATTTACTCTCCCATGATATAGTCCAAATAGGTATAAAGAGTCAAACTCAAAATCAAAAGGAGATCTCCTCAGGGGCCATAAACTAATAACTAAGAAGGAACTTAAAATCAAAGTGATGAGCCAGAGCTTAAGCCAGGAGAGCTCAAAGAAATGCAGAACCAGGTTTAATTCTCCATGGCTGGAGACTGACTCTCATGCTCACATAGGGAAAGGTGTCTGGGTTGCAAGCACAGAGCGTGCAGGGAGCTGGAAATGAACTGTCTACATAAAGCTGGAGATCTGAAGACATTGCTTCATCTCTGAGACAAAGACAAGCAGAACCATATGCAAACTTGGAAAGCAGTGAGGATGTTTTCAACTGCATAGGCACATAGTTAAAAAGAAGTCAACATAAACTGAGAGAGGTTGGCTTCCACTGTGCCCATGTGGGTGTTCCAAATACATGTTGCTTATTCTCCAAAGTGAGTTAGAGTGTGGCCCATACCGCATGATAGCATGTACACAAATTTAGAAATGATACAAAGCATTATTTTATATAGTTTGTGAACATACCTATAGATAGTAAAAATAGAAAAATGTGGAGAAACCTCACTAAATTTATGTGAGACAGATTATTGTTCGTGTGTGTGTGTGTGTGTGTGTGTGTGTGTGTGTGTAAAAGAGAAAGGATCAGGGAAAGCAATAGAGTGAAGTTCAACTTTATCTGTTATAGTTCAGTATTTCAAAGAAAAACTTAAAATTTCAAAGAGAAAAAACAACAAAGAAGGGGAAAAAGTACTAAACTGCATTTAATTATAATATTCTCTTTCTTTTTTTAACCTTTTCAAAAGAGAACTAAAGTCATCGAAGACACAGTAAAGCAAAGTAAAAACCACACGCAAATGTCTGAACTAGAGGACGCATCTGAGGTTTTCAGGAGATACACCTGAGGAGAAAGGTCGAGAATCACACGTTGGCAGAGAAGCAGGCAGAACTGCAGAGGGGGTTCAGATTCCGAGTACTCAAGTCACACTTTTCTGAAAATTTCCCCAAAGGCCACTTGGCAAGAAGCCTTCTCATTCAACTTCTAGTTTGATGAATCTCATTAATGATTACCGAGTCAAGCCCCAGGTGGCAAAGCATCTTCAGCTGCCTGCTGGCAAAGCTGTGGAGGGAGAGAGCGTGAAGGAAGAGCAGGTTCTAAGTCGAAGTCCTTCCTCAGACACTAAGTAAGTCACTTACCTCGGTGTTGCTACGAAAGCTCTCCAAGTGTCCTTTCTGTGTAACAATTGGCAATTTTTGTATACCCCCCAAGTCGCAGGTTTTCTCATATTGACTTTTTTAAAAAAGTGAATGAAGATGTTAAAGCCTTATCTCCGTAACAAGGCAGAGAGAAGAGAGGTAGAAGCAGGAAGCTGAAGTATTGTCCCCGATGAGCCATAAGCTTTGAGAAAATGCCAACTGTGGAAGACATTTCCAAGAAACAGGCGCTCTAGGGAAATGTTTAAAGGCTGAGTTTTGGGAGTTTAATTTTGGGGCTTGTAAGCAAACATCAACTCTTTCATTTGCCAACGGGATGAGCTGGCTGAAAAGGGTCAGTAATAGCTCCATCTGGGGTTGATGTAAACTGCCTGGGTTAGTAGTTAATAACAGTAGCTTTCATAATTTCTGTTGCAGCAACAGCTGGTGGGAGAAGAGCTGCAGAGTGGTTGTGAAGGAACACTTCAGATAAGAAAGCCTTGGCAGTCACAGCGCCATCTCTTACATGAAGATTCATTGCCCCCGCGAAGGTTGTGCAGGGCTTTTCTCCTGGGCAGATTGACAGCAGCAACAGGACTAGTGCCAGTGTCCTGAGGGACTCCATCCTTTTGTAATCAAGTTCGTTGCCTTAGTTTCCCACCCAGATCAATTAGGGTCGAGGGCTTTGACACAAGGCAGGGCTGGGGGTGACTCTAGTCTAAGACAGCATCTAGAAGAATGCTGAGTAGGAACCAGTGAGATGGTGTGAAATTTAACCAAACTAAAATGGCTGGGGATAGAAGAAGAAATGTCGAGATGAGGCAATGGAACAGTCACCAGGGCCACCAGAAAACGGTAGGTGGGCTGAAGACAGTTGGAAGGAGGTGATCAGGGAGAGTCCTCAAGGCAGAGATGTAGAAGTTACAACTTTTTGATGACACTTGTGCCCTCACAGATGTATAGGGAGGGTACTATTGGTTGCACACCCCCAGCCTTTAAACCCAGTGGTCTCTGCAGGAAGGTAAACCTCAGTATAATTCCTTGTGAACACTGCTTCGAACCAGAAACATCTCAGGATGCCATATAGTCTCTGACTCAGGCAACCAGCAGCCTTTTCTGGACCAATAATGGAAAATAAGGTAGCTGTTAAAAAATATGTGTGCGTGTGTGTGTGTATACACACACATATACAAAACATATATAATATATAAATATATGTATGTAGTTTCTTTTGTATAGTCCTATGCCTTGGAGGCTAGTGGGAGTGGAATTGTATTACCCTTGCAACCTCACTGCCGGGGCATCCAGCCAGAAAGCTTTCTTGAGGTCACCAACCTTCCCTGGAATTCAGATGTTCCCTGGGCAGCCACTTGCTCTCTGAACTTTCCCTTATGTGGATCCCTGTTTGTTGCCTATACTCAACCACCTGTTTAGCTGTGTGAGCGAATGCTTGTAAAACCTCCTGGGAGAATGATCTCTGTGTATTGAATATATGGTCACATCTGCTGGGACTGGGCACTCAGGTTTCCGAGACAAGGCATGCCTTGTTGTCTAGAACAGAGATAATAGAAAACTGGACGTAATCTAACATTCAGAATGTTCCAGTCCAAACAGTCCCACAGCAGGGGGATGGTAAAGTCTCACAGCCACAGAGTTACATTGACTGACATCATAACAGAACACGGAAGTGAGAATACATATCACTCATAGGGAAAAGGTGTTAATAAAAACAACATATTCCTGTTCAGCATTGCCAGGTTGTGCAAGACAATGCAGGTGGCCACATCTTTGTCTTTAGTAAAGTATCTCCCAAGCAACCTTTGCAATTAAAATCAGGGCAATTTCCCTGGGTACAAAAGGCCTAGTTGTTTCAATTGAAGTATACTTGATTTACAATGTTGTGTTAGTTTCACATTTAAAAGGCCTATTTTTGAAATGTTCTGGCCACACCAGGGAATTAGAATGCCCAGTGCCAAGATCTGAAGAGACACCACTCCAAAGAAGATGTATTGATAGCAAATAAACACATGGAAAGATGCTCAACCTCATTAGAGAAATGCAAATTAAAACCATGATGAGATATTACTACGCATCCTTTAGAATGTCTAAAACTAAAAAGACTGACCACATCAAATTGTTGAGTATGTAGAGGATCTGGAACTCTCTCATACACTGTTAGTGAGAGTGTAAAATGGTACAACCACTTTGGAAAACAATTCATCATTTTCTCAAAAAGTTAAACATATACTTACCATATGGTATGTATCCACTCATAGGTACCACTCGTAAGTATTTATCTAAGAGAAATGAAAGCACATGTCTAAACAAAGACCTGTACATGAATGTTCAGAGCATCTTTATTTGTAATGGCCATGAACGGCAAACAATACAATTTTCATCAAAAGATGAATGGATAAACAAATTGTGGTATAACCGTGCAATGAAATATTACTCAGCAATAAAAAGGAATGAAGTATTAATGTACACAACATAGATGAATTTCCAAATAATTATGCTGAGTGAAATAAGCCAGGAAAAAAGTGAGGACATACTATATGATTCCATTTCTATCAAATTGCTAGAAAATGCAAGCTAATCTCTTGTTTCCAGGGGTAGAAGAGCAGGATGAATGGGCAGGAGCTGGGAAATGCTTCCGAGAAGTATTACAAAAGGACAGGATGAAACTTACAGGGGGTAATGTATAAGTTACTATTCTGATTGCATTGATTGTCTCATGGGTATACATCCTTCAAAACTTATGGAATTGTACACTTTAAATAAGCATAGTTCATTGTCAGTTATACCTCAATGAAGCTGTTTAAGAAAAACAATGTATAAAAATAGAGAGGAGACATCCAAAGGCCACACTCTGAACTTGACCTGCACCCAAGTAGGATAATTATAACATGAAAAGAAAATAGAATTACATAGAAATGGAATCGTTTTAAAACCATGATTCCATAATAACTCTCTAAAAAGAAGGTATTAATGTAAGAAATGCTCATATAATAGTTATAACACAAAGAAGGATAGCATTATTAGGGATATTTTAAAAGTAAAATTTCAATATGTAGAGGGGAATAGACAGAAGTTTGCCCCATTTTTTAAAAGACATATGTCTTCCTACAAGGTTCGTTTATACAAAGGATGGTTGGATTTGGGTCCTGAAAGTAGGGCAAGCAGTTGAGGGAAAGTGGGGTCAGGAATAGGAAAGACCAGTCAACCCTGGTAACCCCACACTCTCACAAAGTGAGACAGAGAAGCAACATTGCTGGCCGTGTGCCACCAGAGAGGGTCTAACTTTATATCCTAAGGGGGCAGCCTATGGCACGTGCATAATGAAACTTTTACTGCACTAATGAAACTTTTAATTTTTATAAATGCTAAGAAGCCATACCTTAGTTTGCAACACTGGTTTTAGACCGAGTCTATTAAGTGCCAGTGTTTAAATGTTTAAGAGGATATTATTTATTGAACCAACAACTTTGATTTATTAGTGGCATAAATAGTTACATGTCTTGAAACTTTTCCTTTAAGAGGTTTAACATTAATAAATTGAGCACTAAACATAGCACAAATATTGTAATTCTACACACAGTACCATACAAGAATCCCCTTGGGTATTAAAGATCTTAATATTGTATGTAGGAAAGATGTTTTACTTCTCTTATAAGCAGAAAGGTCAAGATCTCTGTGTTAGTTTTTTTTATAACACTGTAGACCTATCATCAACTTGTGGCCAAAAATGATCAGGGTTAGAATTGTATCATCCTGTATATATACACAATGGCATATTATTCAGCTATGAGAAAAAGGATATCCTGCCTTTTGCAACAGCATGAATGGACACTGAGCACATTATGCTGAATCAGATAAGCCAGACAGGGACAGACTAATACAGCATGATATCACTTATACGTGGAATCTTTAAAATGAAACATGTAAAAAAAACACAGAGAGTAAAACAGTGGTTACCAGGGGATGGAGGGTAGGGAGTAACATTGGTGGTATTTAAGGGTACAAATTTGTACCAAGTACTAAAATAGCCATAGAGATTTAATGTACAGTTTATTGAACATAGGTAATAATATTGTACTAAGTATATAATGTGATAAATATCATCACAACGGCAACCGTTTTACAATATATAAATGTATCAAAGTAACACGAGATGTACACCTTAAATTTACACATTACATGTCAAATTTATCCAATTAAAACTTGTATCATCTCATTATACAAATTTGGTCTCCAATTATCGATGACACACGTTAGCGACACTCACAGTGGGTCAAACGGGGAAGCAGTGTGGGAGTCATCAGGGGTACCAGAAGCCAGGTTCTCAGGTGCAGTAGAGGATGCCAGAAGGAGACAGCTCCGCGGTGACCCACATCTGTAGTAGCTCCAACAACGATGGCAATAAACCACATAGCAACCACTTGCTGAGCACCCGGCACGTGCAGTCTATTGAATCCTTACAGTCCTTGATGAAGGTGCTGCTGCCGCGCTGTTGTCGTCATTGTTCTTATTAACAGCAGATGGGAAACTGAAACACACAAATTTGTTCCTGGTAGCACTCAGCACATTAGGTAAATCACAAGCCTGGATTTCAACTTAGAAATGCCTAGCTCCAAATCCAGCGCTCTCAAATTGGCACACAGTGAGTACTCCAGATCCTACATGATAAACGGTTCCACGCCGTAGGCACAGAACACCTGTTGTATTGAGCCAGGACTAGGTAATGATCCTCCTTATACCCCATCCAGATGGAACGGCCCAGCTTCTGTTTGCCTGTTGCCCACTTTTTAAATGTTTCAAAGAAGTCTCATTTCTCGTGGCTGACACCTTGGATAATATCACCCTGTAGGTGAAAAACAGTCATCAGGAGAGAAGAACGCAATGGCCACCATGACAGAATTGAGTCCCACGGCAGGGAAGTACTCCCAAGATGTACAAGGGGATGAGAAGCTCAGTCCTGGGAAAGGTAAACTCAACCTTGACTATGTGGTTTTAGGATTTTATGGTGGATTTTTACAATATCATAATACAAAGAAATGAATTAATGTCTTTTAAGGTGTTTAATTGTTTTTTAAAAATCAAGTACTATTAATGTACATTTCTAAAAAAGTATTTTATTTTTGATGATTACCTCCTAATCTTAGTCCATATGCACTTGCGTTCTTGATAAATGCTACCAAATCGTCTACACATAGTATTGTGTATTCTGCTTGTTATTGCATGTAATATTGTAAGCATAATTGTATTGCTTAAGTAAAGTATAAAAAATTATTTACAGAAACCTCAAAAAATCAAGATATGAAAAAAGATGTTACTAAGCTTAATGTAACCACTGTAATTTGTTTTTATTGCCTTCGTTTACATGTATATTTTATATAGTTCTGTGCTGTATATATTATGTTGTATGTTTTGGACCACACATACTTTTCAATTTGCTTTATAATACAATCATTATTCTTAAAGGATACATATTATTATTTCAATATATCCAATAGATAAAGTATTATTTACCTGAAAAATCCCTGTGGTTGGATATTTAAGTTGTGGAGTTTTGGGGGTTTTTGCTTACCTATCATACAGATAGATTAATTGATAGATATAGTTATATAGATATAACATATTGTATATGTTATATATAACATATCTATCTATCTATCTATATATCTCATGATATCCTGTAACATAACACTTGTCTACAGTTGGAATTATTACTTCCTCAGGGCTTTTTCCTAAGAAAAATAAAAATTTTAAGCAATGATTATAAATACTTCATTTCCATTGGCCACTAAAGAGACCTTAGTTTTTAATCTGAAAAATAGTGTGGCCACATAGAGAATTTTGAGCAGAAAATGGCGTGATCAAATTTATGGTATGACTAGAGCACTCCAAATGCTGTAATGAGAGTAGACTGGAAGCAGGAAGTCAAGTTGAAGGCTATTGCAAAAATCTAGGCAAGAGATGTTGGTAGCTAGAACCACATGGAAGAGGCTTTAAACAAAAAGATAGCAGTGGCCCTGGTGAGAAGTGGTTGAATTCTACATACATTTTGAGTGTAAAGAAAGCAGTATGTTCTAGATAGACTGGATGTAGGCTGTGAAAGAAAGAAATCAAGCATAAATTGCAAAGTGTTTGGAAGGATGGAATTTCTATCACCTGAGTTGGGAAGGAATTTGGGTGGAGCAAGATTGGGAGGGGGGTTTAGTTTTGGATCTATTAAGTTTGATTTGTTGATTAGTTGATCAATTGATTTTTAGTTGAGCAAAAAATAATGCATCTTAAATCAATGACAACTTCAATTTGACAAAAGGCAGTATTATTGTATTATATACTGAGCTTTTAAATTTTAAGACATGAGATGTTTTACCAACATTATTTTTCATATATTTGAACTAGACACGGGAAACAAATAACTTTTAAGAACACACGTAGTAGCCTGTAGGGAAGGCTTAATATGCAGTAAGCACCAGACTAAGCCTTTTAAGTACAGCCTCTAGTGGATCTTTCAGCGATCTCATGAGGCAGGTGTTCACCCCACCCATCTGTGAGCCATTAGTCTCCTGGTTTGCTGATACTCGCTTTCTGTAGCCTTTGGCCTCTAGGATACCAAAGCAAGCTGGGGAGATCAGAGGCCAAAGAACTGATAAATTATTAGTTGATTTGATTGACATAGGAAGTCATCACCCAGCTCCAAAAAAGAAAGGAAAACCTTTACAAAGATATTATTTTTTAGCTCCTCGCTCTAATTACAGTATACTTACAAGTTTCTTCCAAATTCTTCCTTCCCCACTACATTCACTGCAAAGATTTGTGTTCTACTTAAGAAGAGAGTATGGTCTTGAGGGACAGGCTCTTTTGTAAACCTCAAGGCACCTCTTTTCTTGAAGCTTTGAAGATTTCTTGATGATGCATGGTGTTGTTCTCCTCTCCTACACCATACAAACCCCACAGATGAGTGCACTCGGATTGTGGCAAAGGTATTCTCATGGAGTCATCTGGGACAAAATAAAAGCCACTGTACACAAGCAGTGCAGTGTTTAAGAGCATAGACACTTGAGCTAAACTATTAGCTGACCTCTCTGCACCTGTAAAATTGGAATAGTAGTAGTAGCTGCTTCATAGGATTATTGTGAGGAGTAAATGAGTTAATTCTCAGTCATCATGTTACATAACCTATCAGAAACATCTGACACACCTACTGACTCCCTCCTCCCTGTAGCCCTTTTCCCCTTGGCTTCCAGGACACCACACTTTCCTGGTTTTCTTCCCAGTTTCCATTGACAGTTTCTTCCCATTTATCCAACCTCTAAGCATTGGAGAGCCCTAGAGTCAGTCCTTGGTTATCTTCCCTATTTATTCTCATTTCCTAAATACCATGGCTTCAAGTATCATCTTGAATGTTACTAACTCCCAACGTTTTGCCTCAGCCTCTATCCTAAACTCTAGAGTTTTATATGCAACAACATTCTCAACATCTCTTGGGTGCTTAAAAGGCATCTTTGTCTTAACTGTCCAATAATAAGCTCTTTATCATCCCACTGCCCCCAAACCTGCTTTTTCTGCAGAACTCTCTTCCTCATTGAACAGCAACTCCATTCTTCCAGCTGTTTAGAACAAGAACCTCTCTAATGCCCTTCCCTCACCCATCTGTAAAATTGAAACCAAGATTCAGTTATTCCCCTACTGCAATCTATCTGGGATCTTATCACATCTTAGTTCCTCTACTGCTACCACCCTAGTTCACGGTTCTTCACTTCTTTTCTGGATTGTTGCAATAGTTTCTTCCTGGCAATAGCCGTCTTTCCTGGAAGTACAAAAACAGATTATTTTAATTTTGTGCTCATTTCTTTTTCTGTTATTTTTTCACTTTCACTATATTTTTCATTGTTTGTCAGTGTCAATTTTTCTCTAATGAGAAAATCTTTCTAGAGGTTTAATTTCAAAATTTAAATGAAAGTTTGCCCTCACTGACTGAGACATATGAGAAGAATAATAAATCTATACCAATGAACAACTCCTTCAATGTTTAAAATTTACATTATATATGTATGTAATATAGTACATATAATACAAATTATATAATTTAAATATGTATACTATACATATTTCATTTATATGTATATATTTACTTTTAATATATATATTCTATATATCCATATCTATATATATTTAAATATGAGTAATTTCATCAACCATAGAATACAGTAACCTAGGAATGGGAGAGACAAAATTGCAGGAAGAACAGAACACCCCAGAGCAAGTCAGGGTCTATAAAGCTGTGGTATAAAACACGCTTTGACTCAACTCAGTCATTTTCTGCTTTTGGAATCTTTCTTTCCCAAAGCCGATAGAAGTGCCACTTAAATCATCAGGTGATGCCTTTCTGTATTATAACTTGTGAAAAATAAATGAGATTCAATAAAGAAAGCACTAATATAATGTCATAATATTTCCAGCTCCAAGCTTATGTTCCACTCGCTATGGAATAGCCTTCATCACACATCTCTGCAACTTCATAATAATGGCACAAAATATTATCATGAACATCACCATGGTAACCATGGCCAACAGCACAAACCATCAGTCCCAGTTTAACAGCTCCACTGAGGGGCTGCCTCTTGACTCATTTGATGACCCAAATAATTCCCCAAAAAGTCTTCCTGCGGGGGTAAGCCATGCAAGATTTAAGTTGTGTTCTTGTTTTTGCTATTTGTTTGTTCGGATATTTATTTTTTCTAGAGTTTATATGTTAAGAAGTTTTAATTGAGGAAATAGTGATTTGAAAGCCAGTGGAAGATCTAAAGAGGCTTCTTAAGTTATGCAACAGCCTTCCGGTAAATGGCTTGCCAAAGCATTCTCTGTTTCTTTAAGGCCCCTGTGTATGATTGGAGCCCTCAAATCCAGGGCATCATCTTTAGTTCTATCAACTATGGCGTGATCCTGACACCGGCTCCCAGTGGATACCTGGCTGGAAGAGTAAGAACAAAGCGAATGGTTGGTGCTGCTCTGCTTGGATCCTCATTTCTCGTTCTCTTCACCCCTCTGGCAGCTGACCTTGGACTAGGTTTCCTCATTGCAACTCGAATACTTCAAGGCGTGAGCCTGGTACCCAGATATTTTATAAATATGCGCCGGATATGAATTTCTCTATGGGACCACATATCAAGAACTCTATTTTTTTTTCAGGGGTTAGGATATGGGGGTCATTTTGCACTCTGGGAAAGATGGAGTCCTCCAAATGAATGAAGCCGACTCTGCAGCATTGCTTTCTCAGGTAAAAACATATAACGGAAATGAGTCCACTATAATCCAACATTCTTTCACTGAGTTCTTCAACTTTTTTTATTGAAAGGTTCTTTGTCTTCTGCTCAATGTCAATCAAGTATTTATAAACTAGGGGGATGGGTCCTTTGTGACATGACTTTTAGTTATTTTCCCCAAGTTGTCATGTGTGATTTGACTTTGCTTATAATGCCTTTTGCCATTTTTTAAAAATACATTTTTATGTAGTCAAATTGATCATTCTTTTCTTTTATGGTTTCTGGGTTTGAGTCATAGTTAGAAATGTTACAAAAGCATCCAACCTGGCTTTTAATGAATATGTATGGTTTCATTTTTTATATTTAAATTTTTGACATATTGGAGTTTATACTAGTGTTCAGTGTGAGGCATGAATCCAACTTAATTTTCTTTGGAATTGCTCTCAGTTGTCCTGAGAACTGCTTTCTGATAATGATCTGTCTGGACAGTGTACTTGGAATGAATATTCTGGAGGAAGAAAGCTTCAGTTACATTGAGTCAAAATGAAAAATGGAAAGAGTAGGGCTAACAAACTGGAAATTGCCAAAGTATGGGTGCTGGGTAAGGAGAGAAGGGTAGGAGAGCCAGGGATTATTCAAGGCCAGAAAACGAGTCACGTGCACACACATACACACCCTGCCTGACCTTATGCCTCTCTAGAGCCCTTCACAACCCTGGACAATTAGTCTTTGTCATCTGAGCTCATATCCACTGATAGGGGAATGGAGACCCCAGTTTGGACTAAGGAAACTCACTTTGGTTATCAGAGCTGACTAAGGGATATCCTCAAATATAAATAAGGATTGGCTGGGCTTCCCTGGTGGCGCAGCGGTTGAGAGTCCGCCTGCCGAGACAAGGGACACAGGTTAGTGCCCCGGTCTGGGAAGATCCCACATGCCGCGGAGCGGCTGGGCCCATGAGCCATGGACCCTGAGGCTGGGCGTCCAGAGCCTGTGCTCCGCAATGGGAGAGACCACAGCAGTGAGAGGCCCGTGTACCGCAAAAAAAAAAAAAAAAAAAAAAGGATTGGCTTTTCCAAATCCTCAAACATTTGAAGGAAATCAAGGGCATGAAAGAGAGAAACCAAACTCAAAAACTGCAAGAACTAACCCCAATGAAAAAGGAATTGAAAGCAGATTTTAAATAATTAACAAATAACATCAGAGAGATCCGCGGGAATATGTGTAGATGATATTCATTTTAAAAGAACACACTGCTATAAAAAACAGTTGCTGAGACTTCCCTGGTGGCACAGTGGTTAAGACTCCACCTGCCAATGCAGGGGACACGGGTCCAAGCCCTGGTCTGATTTTTTTTTTTTTAACTGTGAGATCAGGAAAGCCCTGTTAAGCAAAGGAGTAAATCTAGAAGTCATTACAGAGGAAACTTACAGATCTGACCCCATGAAAACTCACAACTGCTAGGTTACAAAAGACACCATAAACAAAGTTTAAATCGGGAGAATAGAATTGCAGCCAGCATGACAGACAGAGGGTTATTATTCACAACACATAAAGATTCTATAAATTGAGACAAAGTTAAACAAGTGAAAGAAACAAAAAAAAAGATTATGAACAGTTCACAAAAGAAATAAAAATGAAAAAAATGTTCAACTGCACTATAAAAAGAAAAACTTATATACTGTTTTGCATTCATATTTGGAAAACTAGGAGCTTTGAGGATGTCCAATGTTGTCAAGAGATGAGGAAAACAATCTTTGTTGGCAGTTTAATTTAGTATGGCCTTTTAGCAGCATACTTCAGCTGTTCTGTCAAAAAATGCACAGTCTTTGGTTTAGCAAGCCTACGTCTGTTATTTTACTGTACAGAAATAAATTATGTTTAAGTTCAGAAGTGATAATTAAGTTTATGTTCATAAGTAACAACTAGGTAGCATCTGCAGTGACATGGAAATATTTACAAGCCCAATTGTTAAATAAAAAATAAATGTCACAGGACAATAGGTACATTATGGTCCTGCTTATTTAAAATTAATAATAACTCACATACATATATATAAAAGTTGACAAGTTAATGTTCATCTGGAAAATTTTAAAAAACATAATAGTCTAGTTTTGAAGAAGTTGTAAAAGGGATATGTGCCTCAGTATATATGAGAATACTCGGTAGAGCCATGGAAATTAAAACAGTGCTATTAGCACATTAATAGACAAATCTATCTAACTTTCTGTCTACATGTTACATAAATGCATTTACCAAGAGATGCAGGTATGTATAGATATACACTATGTATGTGTGCAAAGAGGAAAATGTATGCAATTATACATCATATAATAAATTGTAGCTGTTGGTTAACATTCGAGTGGGGATGGATTGGGGGGCACGTGAGGGGAACCTTGGTTCTTTGCAGTAATTTACTTTTACAATAGCATATGTTATATGAATTGTGTAATTAAAAATTAAAATAACATAAAAGGAAGCATGGTTGTCATCTGCAATGTTACTAGGGAACTGCCAGAAAAATGGGTCCTCAGGAGAACATATGAACTCAATCACAAGTTTGAAGTCCATATATTCTACTATGCTTATCTCTTAATGGTGATACTGCTCTGTAACATGTCATCTGTCATTCTGTAGGCATCTATCAGGTGGCAGTCCAGAGCCCCACAGCTTGTTCTCTCTTTGCAGGAATGATGCTGGGAAGCTGCATTGCCATCCTCCTGGGTGGCATCATCAGTCAAGCCCTTGGGTGGCCTTTTGTCTTCTGTATCTTTGGTAAGCTGCTGTCTCCCCACTCCTAGGTTTTCATATTCAGGGAGATTCTTCTGAGTATCTATCTGTGTGTACTTTTCTGGAGGAAATGAATCGAGACAGAAAGATCCTAGTAAAAGAAAATGTCTTAATATAATAGTAGGGAAGAATTAACTTGTACCATCAAAGGATTTGGAAGTCCTCCTGCCTATGATGCTGTTAACCTGCCATGATGCATTATTAACACCAACCTGCCTATGATGCTGTTAACCTGCCATGATGCATTATTAACACCAAGTGATTTGGCAGAATCTGCTGCCCTAGCAGGCAGTAGGGGACAGGCTTGCAGAGTGGTGGTTTGTGAGAGACAGAAGTATCAGAGTTGAGGAGATGGAGGTAAGAGCCCTGAGAAAGTAAGGCAGGTAGAGCTCACAGGAAAGAGTGCCTAACAGGAGACAACTGCACACAGAGAAAACCCTGGCTATCTGCAGAGTCCCCCTTGATACTCACCAGAGCACTGATTAGAATACCTGTGTGGAGACATCATCTGAGGCCGGTGGGGGGCGGGTGTGTGTGTGTGCCGGAAATCATTGGAAAAATTTAAAGAATAGTGTCCAGTACTTATAGAGAATCAGGGATAGTGCCTGTTTCCACAAGACAGAATGAAAAACTGTATAATTCTTGGGCCATTGGGCAGAATCCTAATAAATGTCTTTCCTCAATAGTGAGAAATAATTAGCTCTAGAGGACACACTATTGTGCATCCCTCTAACAAATGATGATGACCAGACCCAAAGGGTCAGTGTTTCCATGTAATTTAAATGTACCCCAAACAAAGCTCAAAAATACTTATAGGAATACAAAAATATTCAGCACCCAACAAGATATAATTCGTAATGTCTGGCTCAAGGCATAGGTTACCAGGTATGGACAAAGGCAGGAAAACACAATCCATAATAGGGAGAATAATCAATCAATCAAAACCAGCCCAGAACTGACACAAATGTTAGAATTAGCACACAAGGATAGTTACTATAACTTTATTTGTTCAAAATTTAAGTAGAGACATGCAAAATATATTTTTAAAGACCCTAAGTCAAACTTCTAGAGATAAAAACTACAATATAAGGATTGAATTAATGACAGATGATACAACAGAAGAAAAGATTAATGAAATTAAAAGTAGCAATAGAAACCATCCAGAATGACCTACACAGAGAAAAAAGTAATAATAAAATGAGAACATAAGTAAGGTGTGTAGTATCCAAAGGAGAGGATTGGGATGGGGGAGCAGAAAGAAACCTTTGAAGAAATGATGGCTGAAAGTTTTCCAAGTTTGTTGGAAACTGTAAACTCACAGATCCAAAAAAGTCAATGAATCTCAAGCACAGGAAATATGAAGAAACCTGTACCAAGTTATACCATAATAAAATGGCTCAAAACCAGTGATAAAGATGAAATCTTAAAAGCAGCCAAAGTTTAAAATTAGAGAGAGAAGAACAAAGATATGATGACTGCAGCTTTCCCATCAGAAGCAATAAAAGCAAGAAGGCAGTGGAACAACATCTTTCAAATACTGCAAGAAAAAAGAAAATAAATCTGTTAACATAGAATTCTAGAGACAAAAACAACTTTTCAAAAACAAAGGCAAAATAAGGACATTTTTAGACATACAAAAGTTGAAAGAATCAGAAATTTAAAGAGAACAGTACCATTTTCAATAGCATCAAAAAATAGATAACAGTGCTAAATTTGACAAGAGATGTGAAACATGCACTGAAAACTAAATTATCACGAAAATAAAAAGATCCTAGAATAGCCAATTTTGGAAATTAATGACAAAGTTGTAAGACTAACACAGCCTGATGTCAAGGTATATTATAAGATTATAGTCATCAAGACATTGTGGTATTGGCATAGAGACAAACAGATCACTGAAACAGAATACAGTCATAAATAGACTTACACATTAATGATAAACTGATTTTTGACAAAGATGCAAAAACAATTCAATGGAGAAAGGATAGTCTTTTTAACAGATGGTGCTCAAAAAAAAAAAAAAAAGAATTTTGATCCATATCTTGCACTCTATACAAAAACTCAAAATGAATGTTGGATGTAATTGTAAGATCTGAAATTATCATTCTTTTAAAAGAAAACATATGAGAAAATCTTTGCTCTTTATTTAGGCAAAGATTTCTTAGCTATGACACCAAAGAAAATACTTGCAAAACACATATACAATAAGGACTTTTATCCAGAGTGTGTAAATAATTCTCAAAACTCAATAACAAAACAAAAACCCAATTTAAAAATGGGCAAAGACACCTCACTAAAGAGGATAGGGAGAGGGAAAATAAGTATGTGAAAAGGTGGTCAACTCAACATCCTTAGTCATTAGGGAAATGCAAATAAAAACAATGAGCTACCTCTGCACACCTATTAGAATGGCTAATTGTGACATAATAAGAAATATATAGATATGGTTTCTGCCACCAGTTCCTGACACAGAGCTAAAACTCTTGTAATTTCGTGGTGAGTGGTGGGGATGATAGGAGCATCTAAGCAGAGTTCCTAAATCCCTTGGAATTTCTTGAGTTATAGGAACATCTTTTGTCTAATGAGGTGACTCTTGGTATCCTCCTGGATAGCTTCAGGCTAGAGGCCACCAGAAAGACCAAGCGGTGATTAGAAGCTTGGAACTTTTAGCCCCACCCTCCATCCTCCCAGGAGGAGAGGGTGCATCAGATTGTGTTAATAATCAATTATGGCGACATGATACAGCCTCCATAAAAATCCCTAAACTATGGGGTTCTAAGAGCTTCCAGGTTGGTGAACACATCCACGTGCTGGGACGGTAGCATATCCCCAACTCCACAGGGTCAGAAACTCCTGCACTCAGGACCGTTCCAGACTTCACCCTATGTATCTCTTCATCTGGGTGTTCATCAGTATCCTTTATCATATTTTGGATAATAAACCAGTAAACATAAATGAATATTTCCCTGACTTTTGTGAGCTATTCCAGCAAATTAGCAGACTAAGAGGGAGTTGTGGGAACCTCTGAATTTGTAGTAAAGTTGAACAGAAGTGTGGGTAATTTGAGGACTCACTACTTGCAATTAGTATCTGAAGTAGGGGGCAGCCTGTGTGACTGAGCCCTTACTCTGTAGGGTCTGTGCTAAGGCCAGATAGTGTCAGAACTGAGCTAAACTGTAGGATGCCAGGTTGGTGTCTGTAGAGAATTAGAGAATTTCTTAGTGTGAAAACCCCACACATTTGATGTCAGAAGGGTTGTGAGCAGAGAAATCGTTTTCCTTTATTAGTATTAAAAAGGTTGAGATATCAAGTGTAGTACCATTTTTGTGTACACAAATAATCAAGAAATCTAAAGGAATGGGTTCTAGAAAGCTGTGATATTCATGTGAGTATTTTGAGAAATGGGAAGAAGATATTAAGAGCAAGAGCTTTTCCCAGGAACCACACCAGAAAATAACCCAATGTAAAAATATTCACACAGAAGTTTACCAATTTTACCTCTGCTGGCAGGAGGTGTTGACTGTGTCTCCTGCCTTCTCTGGTTTGTTTTGATTTATGATGACCCTGTCACTCACCCATGGATAAACATCACAGAAAAAGAATACATCATATCCTCCTTGGCCCAACAGGTACACATAAAAACTCTGACATTCTCCAGAGGTCTTGTATCAGCATCTGGATTTATCAGGGTGACTAAGAACGTGTGAGCATGTCTCAGATCTTACTATTCTAATCAGTAAATTTGTTTTCAGGTCAGCTCTTCTAAGCAGCCTCTTCCCATCAACCTATGGTCAGATCTCTACCCCTCTGGTCCTTGTGTTTTTGCGGTTTCAGCCATCAATGGTTAATTAACATAATGGTTGTATACACACCAACTTACATCAGCTCTGTGTTCAATGTTGATATCAGAGATGTGAGTATATTTCCCTCCACCCGTTTCTCCTGTTTGCATGACTCTCGAATTACTCTGCCTTCACAAATCATCTCATCTAGAAAAATTTATCTTTTATTACCAAGAGATAATGTAACAGTCATGTGCGTAGCTTTTCTGAGGGTATGATGGAAGAGGCTACTGATTTTCTTAGCAGAGTATGATTTCAGAGTTGTCGGTATGATTATTAGTGCTTTATCAATACAAGGTGTGATCTCACAGCCTTTATTATGATGGTTTACTCAAGTTTTTCCCCTCAGAGTGGCTTCCTGTCTGCCCTTCCTTTTATTTTTGCCTGGGTCGTTGGCATCCTGGGAGGTTACCTGGCAGATTTCCTTCTGACCAAGAATTTTAGGCTTGTTACAGTGAGGAAAATTGCCACAGTTCTAGTTAAGAATAGGACCAAAAGCTCTGATAATTCATAAGGCATACAACAGCCAAAGATGTATCTTGGTAAATTCATCTGTTCCTCGTTCCATAGGAAGCCTCCCCTCTTCAGCATCCCTTGTGGTTCTGCCATACGTTGCCTCCAGCTATATCACAGCAGTGAGCCTTCTGACGCTCTCCTGTGGACTAAGCTTGTTTAGTCAGCCAGGGATCTATATCAATGCCTTAGATATTGCTCCAAGGTAGGACTATAATTTCCACTCTCATTTTCATATTTCCTGAAAAAGATTTAGCCTGCAGCCTTCCGGGAGCCCCAAACTTTGTGAAATTATAAATCATGGGCAAGGACCACTGATAGCCTGTGGCCATTTTTTCAAGTATGTGGGAGGAGGGTGTTGTTGATTTGTCTCAGTACCTTTCATTGAATATACACAGAGAGAGTCCTTTTTGACATAATTACTATATGATGGATTCATATGCTAAGCAGAGCTGAAGTGTCTATGGATCTAGCCTGGAACATTCCTGTCACCCACAGGCATTCCAGCTTTCTCATGGGAGCCTCGAGGGGGTTTGCACAGATATCTGCTATCCTGGCACCCACTGTCAGTGGATTTCTTCTCAGTCAGGTAAAGTTTTCTTGTTAAGGATTCTTAAAACACTCTGCTCAATCCATTCATAAAGGCAATAGCATAAAAAAATGTTTTCACATTTTGGATAATAAAATTAAATTGTGGGTAACTTTGTCATGAAGATCAACTTGGCAAAGAAAAATATAAAAGGATTTCCTTCATGACCTCAATCTTTACTTATTCTGAAACCAAAGCACTCACTAGTGATCCACTGGTAATATCCAGTCTTTGAAATCACACAGCCACATAGATGTCCTGTGAGAAGATGATGAATCCATGCATATATGCAACTTGCCATGTCTTCTGCAACACTTGGAAATTTTCATTTGCATAACCATGCAAAAGCAAAGAGATAATAAAATCAAATATGTTTAAGTGCCTGATACATGCAGGTATTATTATAGGTATTTCATATGCAGTAATCTCATTTAATTATTGATTCTCCCACCAATTATGAAAATGAAACATTATTGTCCTCATTTCCTGATGATTAAAATCTGATAGAATATGTCTTTCCACTAAGAGGGTGTAGAATTGGAATTCTCCTAACTTAGACCTATCTAGCTCCAAAGCCCTCAATCTTCTTCTTGCAAGATTCTTCTTGCACTGCAAGAAGAAATATTATCAGCATATGTATAGTCATGATTCGCACAAAAGAGAAAATGTATGGCACTTTGATAAATAGGGACAAATACAATTCTGGAGGTTAATTGCAACGGTCCTTAAGTCCATTTTATGAAGAACATTCTGAATCCATTTTGAAATTCTTTCCATCAAACTATTAAGCTGTGTTCAGGAAATGAATTTCTACATGAAAACCCACTGGTGAACATTGTCTTCTAAACTGTTAATGAGTTTCATAGAAAAAGGGATGAAAGGGGTAATATTTACTTGAAGTTTTGTCTCCTCAGGACCCCGAATTTGGATGGAGGAATGTCTTCTCCTTGTCATTTGCCATTAACACATTAGGACTGATCCTCTACCTTATATTTGGAAAAGCAGATGTCCAAGACTGGGCTAAAGAGAGGAAACTCACTCGTTTATGAAGGTAAAGAAAAATGATTTCATCTAATGGTTATAACCAGAGAAGCACTATTTAATTTTTTTTAATTTTTATTTTATATTGGAGAATAGTTGATTTACAATTTTTTTTAATTTTTATTTTATGTTGGAGTATTAAATTTTTAATTCTATGCCATTTTTCCTTCTTAGTTACCCCACCTTGGATGGAAAATCATTAGGCACCTTATTTCATAAACGAGAAGCCTTCAGTGATGAAAATACCAACAGAAAAAGTTTTCTTTGCTGTAGCTCTTTTCAAATCTGAGATCAGTTCTTTATTTTACTCAGATTTCATTTTGAGAAAAATATAAGATGAATGAAAATTCAAATAAAATGATAGCCAAGAACATGTCATCTTCATAGAGTTAACAATGAATTCAGAGGAGCTGCTCTATGGGAGCCAGCAGGCTAGATTCACAGTTTTTGAATCTCTAAACAGGAAACTATGTTTTGAAACTCTTAATCGAGGGCAGTAACCTCCCTAGGGCAATGATTCCTCCTACTTGTGAAAATGAATATTAATTTATATATTTGTTGGGCTGGATGTTGTCCATGTGTTCCTCCCTTTGTGTGCTCCACTCTCCTGCATCCTGCTCGGGCCCCAGGAGGCTGACCTGAGTGGTTTGCATCCCACACTTTCTTGTCCACTGCCTCCTGCTGGATTTTCAGTGGAGGCAGGAGAGTGAGGATAGGGAGCATTTATCTCTAAAGTTCCTCCTTGTGGGGACTGCAGTTGGCTGATCCTTCCTGTATAGTTCACAGCTCCTAGCAGACAGCCCTCTCCACATAGTCTGGTAATTTCTCTCTTCCCATGTCCCATCAAACCTTTTTTGGCCTTTATGTTGCAAGTTCTGGGATTCTCAAGAATTATCTTGTGGTTTCCTTCCCACCTTCCCAATCCTGTGTAAATTGTCTCATTTAACACTCCTCAAATTACCCAGTGTGAGTCTCTTATGTTTCTCCTTCTAGGATCCAACTAATTTCAGTAGTTAAGTCATATATAAAGCTCAAAACATGAAATGGTTCAGTATTTCTTTAAATTATAATTTGTAGGTGTCAGTGGGTCATAGCATGTTCAGAGGGGCCAAAACTATGTTCCAGGTTGCTCCCCATGGTGATCTCTACTGTGTTGAATAGAGATTATAGCCATCAAGTTATTTTGTATAGAAGTGATGTGATGGCCGCTAGTTCTGAGTGTAAAATTAGGGCAAGGATATAGAAGGTCAAATTTGAATAAGCAACAACAATTACTGAGATTTTGCATAGTCTAGAATCTAGGCCCTTGGAACACTAGAGTAAATTAGACACAGTCACTATTGTCCATTCAGATGTGGAAGACACACATAATAATACATGGCAAGTGCATTGTCTTAGGTACAATAGCAGGGGGACATGCAGGTCATTACAGGAGACCAGATGAGGGGTTCTAATCCTAAGCTGAAGAGCACAGGAGAGATCTCCTTCTGCAAGTAATTCCTGAGCTAAATGTTAAAAGAGGAGTGTTATGGTAGAATTTTCCACACTGGAGCCCAACTTGTACAAAAGCATGAAAAAAAAAAAAAACATTTCTGAAGGGAATCACTTGACTACATGGTCAGTTAGGGAAGGGCAGAAGATTAAGTTAGGGAGGTGGGTGTGACCCTAACATGGAGGTCTTGTTCGCCATGTCAGGGAGCTACAAGCAATAGTGACATGGGCAGATTTTCTCTCTAGATAGGACACTCTGGCCCAATTCCAGAATCAGGAAGACTAGTTAGTGGTCCACACAGCAGCGGTGAGGACTGGACTAGGGCTGGAAGAGCTGGGATGGAAAGAAGAGAGATATGAGTAATTTAGGAGGCAGAAGTGAAAGATCATGGCATTTGGTTAGATAGATGCAGGAGAAGAGAGGAGTTAGGAGTCCTGGGCCTCTAACCTGAGATACTGAATAGAGAGTGGTATGAATAACTAAGCCAGAGAATGCAGGAAGAGTCCTTTTCAGAGGGAAGATAATGAGTTGACTTTGGACATGTGTTAGCAGTAATACTGGGATAAACAAGTAGGTGTGTGTATTAGTTTCATGGGCTGCCATAACAAAATACCACGAGCTTGTGGCTTAAGCAATAGTAATTTATTGTCTCACAATTCAAGAAGTCCAAAATCAAAATGCCAGCAGAGTTGGTTCCTTTTGGAGTTTGTGAGGGAGAATCTGTCCCATGCCTCTCTGCTGGTAGCCTCAGGCATTCTTTGGCTTGTAGGTAGCTTTCTCTCTGTGTCTTCGTCTCATCTTCCCTCTCTACAAATCTGTCTCTGTGTCAGAATTTCCCTGTTTCATAAAGACACAAGACATATTTGATTAGGGCCCACCTTAATGACTTCATCTTAACTTGATCATCAGCAAAGACCGTATTTCCAAGTGAGGTGACATTTGGTACTGTGGGTTAGGACTTCCGCATCTTTTTGGGAGACACAGTTCAATGCATAACAGCAAGCCCAAAAAAAGCCAGACCATAAATCTGAAACTTGTAAAAAGACCTGGGATGGAGACAAAGATATAAAAGTACAGACGTTCAGTACTAAAGACATGAATATTTAATGCTCAGGAGGAGCCTGTGAATGAAAAAATACCAAGCCAAAGACAGAATGCCAACATTCAAGGAGTGGGCAGAATAAGAAATGCCCACACATAACAGAGCCAAAAGGGTCAGGCTTGTACATGTGAGGAACAATGGGAGGACACAACGCTTATAGAAACGCATGAACATGGCCTTTAAGAAAGATGACAGATCAGCAATAAGTACACTGCAATTCAATTAGATGAGGTCAGGAAAGGAACATGGTCAACTTGTGATTAGAAGTTCACTGGTGGCTTTTTCATGACACATTTAGCAGAGATATGGGTGTGCAGGTCACTTTGCAGTTTGTTGGTGAGTGAATGAGAATGAGAGAGTAGAGAAAGCAAGAAAAATATTTTCAGGAAGGGATGGGAATATAGCCAGAGGAGAATAGAGGGAAAGGAAGAGTGACCTAAGTGGGAAAAGGACTGGCCCAGGGGATGCTTTGGGGAAGAAACAGTGGAGCGGGAGTGAAGATATGGAAGGACAGGGTGAAGAGATGGAGCAAGGTCTTTGAAGACACAATAAGGATTCAGGTACAGGTTTGTCTTGAACATATAGAAAGAAAATATGAAATCAAAAACATGAATTTTCTCTTTAAGAAAGGGAGTCCAGGAAACCAGCAACAAACGAAAAAGCAACCTACTTAATGGGGGAGAATATTTGAAAATCATATATTTGATAAGGGGTTAATACTGAAAATACATAAAGAACTCATACAACTCAATAACAAAAAAAAGCCAATCTGATTTAAAAATGGACAGAAGAACTGAGTAGACATTTTACAAGAGAAGACACACAAACGGCCAACAAGTACATGAAAAGGTGCTCAACATCATTCATCATCAGCAAAATGCAAATCAAAACCACGAGATATCATTTCATACCTATTAGAATGGCCATTATCAAAAAGACAAGAGATAACAAGTGTTTAGAAGGATATGGAGAAAAGGGACTCGTACAATGTTGATGAGAAGGTAGATTGGTGCAGTCACTATGGAAAACAGTATGGCGGGTCCTCAAAAAATTAAAAATAGAACTACCTCATGATCCAGCAATCCCAGTTCTGAGAATACATCTGAAGGAAATGAAAACAGTATCTCAAAGAGATAGCTACACTCCTATGTTCACTGCAGCATTATTCACAATAGCCAAGATATGGAAGCAACCCATCAATGGTAAATGAATAAAGAAGATATATATAGAGAGATATATATACACACACACACATATACATATATTTCAGCCATGAGAATGAAAGACATTCTGCACATGGATGGACTTTGAAGGCATTATGCAAAGTGAAGTAAGTCAGATAAAGACAAATACATATTACTTATATGGGAAATCTGAGAAAGCCAAACTCATAGAAACAGAGATTAGAATGGGGGTTACTAGGGGGTGGAGGATAGGGGGGAAAGGGGAGATGTTTGTCAAAGAGTATAAACTTTCAGTTATAAGACAGATAACTTCTGGGGATCTAATGTACAGCATAGTGATTATAGTTAATAATACTGTGTTATACACTTGAATGTTGCTAAGAGGGCAACATTTTAAATCTTAAACTTTTAAATCTTAAAAGTTCTCAACACAAAAAAGGAAATGGTAATTATGTGACGTGATGGAGGTGTTAGCTAACACTGTGGTGGTAATCATTTTGCAATATAAGTGTTTCTAATCAACACAATGTGTACCTTAAACTTATACAATGTTAAATGTCAATTATATCTCAATGAAGCCAGGGGGGAAAAAAAGAAAAAGAGTCCATTTTTTTCCTCAGTAAAATGCCTGCTGACTATACATGTTGAACTAAATTAAGGAGTTCCAAAGTAGATACATTTTTGTTTGATGAACCCTCTTTGTTCCCTATAATGTTGATGTCCCAAAAGAAAAAGAAAATCCAGTTGGTGCTAATGAAACCTCTAAGCTCTCCCTGTTGGGCCGTATAACCTAAAGGCTCCATATGCTTGCATCAGCTGCAAGATCTTGATTATTAAATATATTATTAAAACATTTACCTTGAAAATGAAAGATGACTTAAAATTGAATCAGTTGATTAAAATGATTCTACCTTTAGGTGTATTATTTTTTTTTAAGTTACAGACTACACAGTGAAAGTTCCTAAAGTTTAGGATGGCTATTTTACTCTTCCTATTGCAATCAAGTTTTTAAGAGTGATTTCTGCTGTCTTTTCTGAAATCCAGAACACATACAAAAATGTTTTCCCCATCCCGTTGTTGTTTTGTTTTTTGACTCTAATCTTCCCTAAATAGAGGAGACACACCTGTATTGCTTGACAATAAAGAAGAAGAGGTAAAAATGGGTGCAATGATGATTATGAGAGAGGGAAGACATTGGATGGGATTATGGTGCCGCTTTGCCTTTGTGAGTGAAAGGTTGATCTGGGCACATAGCAGTTCATTCATGCAAGTCCACATGTCAGTGTCGTGGTGGGTTAGATGGGAGTCCATATGACAATATATTGGGTTATACAGGCCTGAATCACAGTACAACAAGGGTTGGTAACTCCATATGAGACAATACTGGGTATTAAAATGTCCATGTGGGAGCTTACTGATGGGTTTGTAGGTCTACATGACTATACATTGGGTGTTGTGTGATATTGTGATTTATAATAAGAATTTTATATTTGGTCTTTGTCCTTTCCTAGCTTCCTAGCTCCTAAAAACCTCGGAATGTCCCAAGTGGAGAGGTATCTTTTGTTATGTTAACGTAGTTACTTTTGGAATGTACCAAA